TGGAATGGAACCTTTTCCTTCCCAGGTGACATTGATTAAAGTCTTTTCAGATGTCAAGAGAACATTATAAAGTATGAGTCTATAAAGGTTCAATGTTAAAAAATTCTCGTGTTTTACTTTATTGGACATTTGCAAAATTACCAACAGCTGAACATAAAATCAATAAAGGAAAAACTGGATGTTTAAACCAGAAATGAGAACATTCATGATGTGGGTAAAGAAGGGTATGGGAATCTAGCAGATAATGTGGCTCGTGTTTTAACACATCATTGTGGGACTCTTGCGGCTGTTAACAGTTAATGATAGTCACCTGGGAAAATACTATTTTTTCTACTCCTCCAATTAATCTATAAAAATCTTACATGATCTTACAGAAGCAAAATTTTTATGGAAATCTCGTATGAATCTTAACTTCCAAAATAGCAAAAGGGAATATTTTATGTTTTTTAGTTTTACATTTAAGACCAGAATGTGACTTTTGAAAAAGCCTCTGTCAGTACTAAAATAGACAGACAGATAGACAGACATCAGATAGATATTAAAATAAATGTAGAAACGCTTATAAATGATTATTTAGTAGGAGTGTAAGTCCACATATCTCTAAATGATAACTTGAATATTTCTGAATGATTAACAGCTTCTCATTTCAATGGTGGGATCTTTTAAATACATCAAAACAAGTGGAACGTGTCAAAGTGGCACTTAATATTTGTTTCAAAAATGAAAGTTAGTTACAATGTCTGGGTATAGTTTGGCGCCACTGAACAAACACTACTATCTATCTTCTTTTAAAGAGGAGAGCTTGTAAGTGATGCTTTTTTCCCACAAAAAAAAAATTACTTTGCTCTTGTGCAGCACCTTGCACCCAAGGGATTTCAACTCATCACTTAATGAATTCACTAACACGCCCACAGCGCATCTGTGAAAAATAGACTTTGTTACTGTTTTACAGATGAGCAGAATTAAGAATGACCACATAGTAAATTGGTGGCAGAAAGGGAATAGATTAGAGACACAAATTTCAAACACACAGTTTGTACCAGGCAGAACCATGGACCTCAAAGATTGCCCACATCCTCATCTCCAGATTTAACCTAACCATCTTCCTCTGTGAAGATGTCAGGTGACATGACAAAGGGGAATTAAGATTGCAGATACAATTAAGATTGTGGATCCCCTTTCTTTAAAATACAGGCAGCAGCCTGGATTATCCAGGTGGGCTGAATATAATCACAAGGATCCTTAGAAGTGGAGGAAAGCAGAAGAGACCAGAGCAATGTGGTGTGAGCAGTGCTTGGCCCAGTGGTATTTTTTTTTATTGAAGTATAGTTGATTTAGAATATTATATTAGTTTCAGGTATACAGTATAGTGATTCAGCATTTTACTGATTATATTTCGTTAAAAGTTATTACAAAATAATAGCTATAATTCCCTGTGCTGCACAATATAGCCTTGTTGCTCATCTATTTGATACACAGCAGTTTGTATCTCTTAGTCCCCTACACCCTTCCCTTTCCCCTTTGGTAACCACACGTTTGTTCCCTGTGTCTGTGAGTCTGTTTTGTATATATGCTCATTTGTATTATTTTTTGGATTTGAAGCAGAGCAATGTGAGCGCCTCTGTAACCTGCAAAAAGCAGGGAAACAGATTCTCCCCTCAGAGCCTCCAAAAGGGAATGCACTCTGCCCACAGCCTTGACTTTAGCCTAGAGAGACCCACTCTGGGGTTCTGACATACAGAACAGTAAGAGCATATCTGTGATATCTTAAGCCACCAAGTTGGTGGTAATTTGTTGTAATAGCAATAGAAAACTAATAGACAGCTACTTAATCATTTAAGAGCTATTAATACACCCATACCATTAAGAAAGACTGTAAATAGTCAATTTAAGCAACCAAAGAATAACATTTTAATTTGGAAATGCAAGTCCATTTTGAAGTAATAAAAGTAGAAGCACACAAATTCCTTGGCATAAAGAAAGATGGAAGAAGAAATTTCTAAGAGGAATGTTTTTGTCTGCTTCCACTAGAAGACTGGAGGAGAAAGGAGATAATAAAAGGAACATTCTGATCTAAAGGATAAGGTAAGAATTCTAAAAATGCTACTAGGAATAGCCTTCCAGGAGAAGTTTGGGAATCTTTGTGCTTAGAGGCCTTTAAGATACAAATGATCGTTTTATCTGGCTTGGATGGTGTAGGTATATACTAACCTGATGACAAGGGCCTAGATTCAGCAATCTTTCATGGCCTCTTCCAGCCTGAATATTATACACAGACTTGACTCTATTCAATTCAGCGCCACAAATGTTTACTGCCTATCTACTCAACACAGGTCATTCTGCTATGAATAACCAAAGAATAAGGCATAAACTTTGACTTTAAGAAGTTCACAGTTTAATAGTGAACCAAGGTTAAACAACCAACCATATTCAAGCCAGACAGTGGGAAGAATCATAAGGGTGGATAACTGACACATTGATTAAAAACAATTAAATATCTAAAAGCCAATGCAAAAAACCCAATGCATTCTTACTGATTATAAAACATATAAAACAAACAACAATATCATTGGTCACCACTGCAGGTTTCCAAGGCAGCAATTTATTACAATGAGAATTTTTCCTGTCTTTCTCAAAACATATATAAGGAAAGTAAAAGAGTAAATAAAATTCTTCTTTAATGTAGGATTTCAGCTAAAAAATGCAGCAGGAATGGTGGACTCTATCTAGAATGTAAAACTGCCATTTTACAACTCATGTGTAAAAGAATAGACATGGGCGATGATCATCGCTAGATGCTAAAACCATTAAGGACAAATTTGATGATGAATTTTACAATGGAAGGATTAGGCTGAGGCCACCTAAACACACCAAGCAGCCTTAATATCACTAAGTATGACACCAGCCATTATGCATCTCTTTGGTGAGTTGTTAGGAAATCCACAGTACCACCTATAAAGTATTATGCACCCCCCCAAAAGCTGACTCCAAATCTAATACAGCCTCCAAATCTAAATGTCTTTCATAGGAAATACAGGGATAGAGGAGTCAGTTCAAAAATACATGAAAGCAACCAGTTAAATACAGAATGTGGACCAAGACTCATAATCCAATTTTTCCAGCAAATCAAAGACATTTAAAAGGGGCAAGGAGAGAGGACCGTTACAGAATAAGAGGCTTATGAGATATAACAACCAAATGTAACATATAGACCTTGTAGGATCCTGATTCCAGAAAGAGACAACTCTAAGAAGACATTTTTAAAAATCACCAGAGAAATTTAAGTATGGACTAGGTATAAAACAATATAATGGAATTATTGTTATAATGTGATAAAGGCAAGGCATTATTTAAAATATTTCTTACCTGTCAGAGATGCATACTGAAGTGTTCACAGATTTGACAAATATGATATCTAGTTATGCTTTAAAATACCCCCCCAAATAGCATGTATGATGAACATGGAACGAGGCAGCAAACAGTGATATGTGTCCAAGTTGAACGATGAGGCGTGAGGGTCGTTATAGGTTTCTCTCTCCTTATGTGTTTGAATTTTTTTCAGAATAAAAAGTTAGAAGGGATGAAAACAGCTGTTAATAAATGAAAGGGTACCTAGTCCTTTGATCATCCCTCATCAGTGAACTAGTGAAAGGTCGGTATATTTGTGCTAGAAATCTTCTTTAGCTTTCTGCACAGTTTTCATGAGCAATCTTTCTACCACTTTTAAGACTGAATGCCTTCTACTTCATACGGAAAGGAAGTTTACTATTCCTTAAATTCTCAGTCTACATAATCAAGGAGAAAACATGATCATAAATAATATATAACTTCTAATGTTCACTAAGTAAAGGAACAGTAGATCTGCTTCTATTTGTGGTGTGGGTACGTATATAGCTTCCGGTCACTTTTTATAGTAAACAGTGAACATGGTGGGGGAATATTTGCAAATATTCAAACTTTTTATGGTTTATATGGTTAAGGTTAGTGTTGTTACATTTGTCAAAGTGCAAACAATTCTCAGATTTCGGGGGGCAACAAAAGGTAGTGTGTTTGCTTTAAAGTGCTTCTCTTATGTCAAGTCTAGTCTAGAGACTTTTAATTCATAATGTTACTCTCTTCCCTAATTTTAAAGTAAAACAGAGACTTCCCTAAGAGGAAACAAGGGCTGCAGGACAATCTGGATTCACCTTCAACATCCCCTCCATATATGCAGGAAAGTCAGATCGGGTCTACAGTAGTTCAAGGTGCAGGATTAAACTCTGGAAGGTCGTAGGAAGGTTTTTAAGCAATAATCCTAGCAGTGCGGCAAAATATAAATCTCATCTTAGGTCAGGAAACCTTTGACAGAGTTCAAAATAAATGATCCCTTTTTAAGAAATATCCTGTTAAAAAAACTTTTATTTGCAAATAATTTTTCTGGAGAAGGTCTGAAGGTGCCACATCCTTAAATTATATTTTAATGCAGTTAAAAACATTTTTTAAGGAAATGTAAAATTTTATAATACCTACAAAAGCTTTAACCGTTTCATCTAAAAAACTCTAAAAATTTTAAGTGTATTCCATTTTTTTCCTTTTGAAAGGCAGCTTCTTAATGAAGAGACATCCAGAAAGCTATAGTTGATATTTTTCACCAGAAGAAAGTAAAGACACAGCAGGGAGGAAAATTAATCCCCATAAACAAGCTATGTTACAGAAATTTAAGCCCAGGTATTTTGGCTAATTTTTTTCCTCTATGCAATTTAAGTTGTGTAGTCAGGGATTGTAGCTATAATAGCAATGAAGTTATTGATTTCTGCAGTATATACAGAGTATACATTACATATTTTTTGATGTAAAGAGTTCTGCTACGGGTTACAACAATTATGAAGATGATTTGTAATGCTGGTATTTGGTTCAGCTGATGACGTAGAAGAAATGGTATTTGCCTTCAAGATTACATATCAAGTGTTACTCATTACCTTTTACTTCTTCTTCCCATGCCTGAAACCCAGACATCTTACCGACTACGGCCTCAGTGTATTTCCCTTCTGCAGGAAGAGGGAAGTACTGGTTTGGTGATAAGTTGCTGCCATATCCCAGGAGAAAACCTTCCAGTTTTACATTAGGACTTGGACGCAGGAACTTCAAGAAGATGGAATCACTTGTGGTGTTGATGTGGACTTTCAGGTTTGGCTTTTTACCTAAAGATGGGAATGAAAAAATAGGTGGCTGTTACTTCACCTCTTTCAAGCCCCAAGAAAAATTTGGAGCAAAGGTCAGTTCCTAGAGGCATTGTTATTGGAAAACATGTTATTGAGCTACTTGATATCACAACACATCCACCTACATACTAAAATACAGGCGATTTTGAGATCGAAGAAAATAGACTTAATAACATACAAAGCACTCTAGAGTATAAAGTAAAACTTTAGGGTTTTATATTTGGTAGGTTTATTATCGAGAGGTAAATGGGATTTAAGACTATTTTGGCTATCCACAATTGTTCAGAACCTTCATTTTATACACACTGTCTGGGAATGGTAAAAGGATCTGAAATTTCTTACTGGTAAGTTGAATTACTGCAGTTTGAAAAGCCCCAGCCTCCTCAACACTGATCTCCAGCTGCACCCTCCCAGGATTTAGTGATTAACAGAGATGGAAAGGGAAGGAAGTGGTTAGGTTCTGGCCCAGGGGTAATTGAGATGGTAGAATAGGGACTTCTGAAAGGAGCAGGGTTGAGAAGAAAGATGATTACTTCTACTTGGAGTCTGCTGGACTGGTGAGACAGCTACATGGAAATGCCAACAGGAAGTCGACAACCTAAGTGTAATGCTCAGGAATGGGGTGCAGATCCACCTGGGCATCATTACTTTATACATGATCATTGGGTGAACCTTCCTGAAGAGGCTGCAGAGGAAGGGGAGAAACCCTACATTTTCAAGGCATTATTATTGTTTTTTAACAATGTAGGCAACAGGGGCAGACAATCATACCAACCAAAGGTCTTGACCAAGCAATAAGGAAACAACATTGTCTTTGTCCTTGGGGCCAAAAGGAGCTGGGTTCAAACTGCAACCCTGCCACTGACTTACAAGTGTGCCTCTGGCTACTCACGAAACTGGGTTTGAGCCTTGTTTCCTGATTTGTAAATTATGGGTCATGGATAACAATGTCTATTTTGACAGGTTGTTTAGAAAGGCTAGTGCAAATGGCACTATCTTAAAGCTGGCACATAGTAATTTCTCAGTAATTGGTTACTTAATCAGGTCCATCAATAACACTTTAGCCACAGTTCAGAAATCCAAAAAAGCTTTGTAAAGTTTTTGTAAATTCATGTCAAACTAATTTGGCAACAAAACTTAATCTGTTTACTAGTTACTGGGGGGAAGTGGGTAGAAGGAGATAAATTTGGGAATTTGAGATTTGCAAATGTTAACCACTATATATAAAAATAGATGAATAACAAAATTCTTCTGTATAGCGTAGGGAACTATATTCAATATCTTGTGATAACCTTCAATGAAAAAGAATATGAAAACAAATATATGTATATATATGCATAACCAGGACATTGTGCTGTACACCAGAAATTGACACATTGTAACCAACTATACTTCAATTAAAAAAAAAAAACCTCAATCTGAACTGTAATGAGTTCATTTAGTCTTTCTTTAATCTCACTGAACAGTCAGCGTAACTGATGCACATATTTAATTGTAGGAATATCTAAGTGTTAATTAAGGGGTGCTGATCAAGACTCCACTGAAGCAGTTACTTAATACATGGTCTAGGCATCCTAGTACATTTCAAAAATTCAAGGATTTTCTGAATTCTAAAATGTGTCTGGCCTCAAGAGTTTTAGATAAGAAATCATGGACCTCAATTATTTTCTTTCTTTATTTCACAGGGACTTCATATTTTTAAAAAACTTTACCTATTGGGAAGATTGTATTCACTAACTTAATAGTTCACATTCTATTTCACATTTATCAGAGACTGCATACCAGTCAGCCCCCCTGAACAGCATGGATTTCCAAAAGTCATCACACTAAATTTGTACTATTTCAGTCAAAAGTCATCCTGGACCACCTCAATACAGCTACATAGAAGGATTCCATTAGGTCTTCAAAAAAATAAAAACAGCCTGGTCTTGGATATCAGATTGCGGGAACTACTCTCTTACGTCCACAGCCAGTACTACCATTTCCAGGTGTGGACATAGTACTTTGTACTTCCCAAGAATTTGATGAAATTTCTACATCTTTTTGGGTCTCTGATGGCCATTCCCATACTTGTGGCAGAATTGAAACTCAGGGATATTGAGTGGCTTTTCCAAAACCCGAGCAAGACTCATTCCCAACTCATCTAGTCCAATTCTCTTATAGCACAAAGGACAAAATTGAGGGCAGCCACACCTCTGGCACTCTACACTTTACATGCACGGTCAAAACTGGATCTTAGGTTCTCCCTAGACTGGACCTCCTGCTCTCATTTTTACTGAGAACTTTGTCATGAACCAGTAGAGTAAGGAGTGGCCAACCCCTCAACTAAAATGCCCAAAGTGATGCTAACTGCTAATGTTTTGCCCTAACTTCATTAGATTTTGATGAGGTGATTTATACTTCAGACATAACACATATTTTGGCTCAGGCAGTGTTCTTCTTCTTGGTTATGTGCCCAGATTAACTCAAATTACCCATTCTGCTCAATGAAACAGAATAAATACAAGTCAAACACATATTCTGCTACCTTAGAAATTTATCAGATCTCACAATAAATCAAAACACAACTGTCCCATTTCTAACACAATGTTGGGAAGAAGAGATTAGGAATCTTTGTGTATTTAGGCTGCTCTCTGGTTGGACTAAGAGCCAAGAGTCACAGCACCATCACATTAGACCTTTGCTCACGGATTGTGGCCTGAGGTACCACATTATTTCTCCTCCTGGAAAGCAGAAAGGATGACTGAGGAAAAGGAAGGCTGGAAACAGAATTTCTAACCATTTTGTTGGTGGAAGCATTCTCACTTCCTCTGCCGGGAATTTTCATGACTCCAGTCCTTCTCCCTTTTGCTAATAATTTATGTCAGTGAAGATATCAACATCATGGAAATTTTGGAATAAATTGGCATTTATCTGACCTACTTTCTCCAAAACTCCAATTCATACTACTCTCTAGAGCTAAACTTGAAAAAGTCCTGAAAGAGAAAGATGCACACGAACAAATCTTTTCTCAAAACAGTATCACAAATTGAATAGTATTTTGAGACCATCCTCCCATTTCCTTATTGGAGCTGGAACTCAGATCCCTTCATTATCTCACCACATGTGACTTCTCATTACTTCCCAACACATCTCATGTCTCTTTGGCCAGTATACACCTCCTCCCAGTCTGCAGTGCATACGAGGCCCTGGCCCTACACCTGTGCTCACGTTGTCACCCAGCATGGGTTCCCTCTACACGCCTTTGCTCACTCAGTTATTACTTTCTATTGACCCTTTCAGAGCCCAGCAAAATGGCTATGCAATTTTTGTCCTTTTCATCCGAATAAGTTTGTGTCCCTTGAAATGAGTGCCTGTACCCATATTCAATTTTACATTTTTAAACAACTTCCCCAATATTTTAGAGTATATATCAATGCATTCTATAATAATTTTTCACCTTTGATAAGTTTATCTTCACTCTGAGTAATTCTGGCTGAATGGTTAGGAAACCTAGTCATGCAGTGACAGTTAATTTTCAACAGTTAGTATGAGGACCTCAGATCAATGACTCAAGGTACAGATAATAATAAAAAAAAATACAACATGATACAAACTCAACTAGGAAAACATTCATAAGTAAAGCAGCATATAGATCATGGAGGAAAGCGCAGGAGTGCAGAGAAATAAGAGTGCTGGAAGGACATTTTATTGTGCCCTATATGAGAAACGAAGCATCAAGAGGAGAGAAAATGAAGAATGTGAATGTTTCAGGAAAGCAATACTAGAATGGCTGAGAAAAAAAAATGCACGCTGGCAAAGCAGAACTTTGGATCTACGACAGTTGTTTCTAATCCTCTGTTTACAATACACTAGGGTATCTAAATATTTCAAAGGGTATTGTGAAATTCTAAAAGAAAAAAAATGCCTTTCAAAACAAAATTAGAATTAATCCCCTTTTAATTTGTAAAAGAAAATGCATGCCCTGTGGCATTAAAAACAGCGAGGAGGGCAGGGAGATGAGAAAAATCAGACAAAAGGTAGAGCACTGCAAGTTCACAGAACCTTCCAGATCAACCAGACGAGGCAGGCTGTATTGCTGTAGGCACAGATGTGGGGCTGACATTTAATGCTGAGCCCAGAATTCTGAGTGGCGGTGGTCTGTTTCAGTACAACTTTGCAAAGAAACATGGCCCAACCGCATGGCACTTACCTAACCCAGGTGAACTGCCCTGGACATCCAGTGGCTGATCTGCGACAAAGGAGTAACCATTACAACTCACTCAGTGGGAGGAATTCTCCCATGTCTAATCTCTCTTAAGGTTGTCTTAATACTTTCCAAATATTTCAGAATGCGGTCTAAATTGCTGATATGAAGTTGATCAAGTTGATAAAATCACTTCAAGGGAAAAACTGCAAAATGCTAAATCTCTCTTCTAAAACTGAAAAATATCTATTAGCGTAGTAGCAATGATTGACTTCCCTCATAAGCACTCAGTGTTGTAGAACACTAAGTAGCAAGTTTGGGAATAATCAGATCAGCAATTATTTTCATAAGATATTAAGTAAAAGCATAGCTTTAATGGTTCTGTCAATAAAATAATGACTCAGCTGTTTCAGGATCAAAGAATAAACCCTATTCTTACCCACAGCATGTTTCTTTTTTTTACACACATTATATTTACATTGCAAACCTCTGTATTTGTTCAGTCACTTATTCTGTTATATCAGATCAAATTTTCTAAGACATAAAAATAATTAAATCAGTTTCTATCAGTTCAGATATAACATATCTGAACACAAGCATAGTTTTAAAAACTGATATATTAGATTTTGATCAAATTTTAGTTTTAAGCTGTAAAAGGACTAACAAGGAAAGACTAGATTGGCAGAAAATATTGCAATACATTTACCTATTAAAGGACTTGTAGCCAGAATATTTAAAAGAATTCTTTCTACTCAATAAGAAAACAAAACATTTAAGAATAAAGGGCAAAAGA